GGCCACGTGGAGCAAAGAAGTAGCTGGCTATGACAGGCCCAAACACCCCTCCCCTCCGCTTCGTTTCATGTATTTGCACATAACGTGTAGTTTGCCCTTGAGATCTCTAAGCTTCTTGGGATGTGCAGATACGTAATACGGAACAGTTAGAAGACAGTGCCATGCTCTGTAGGATGCACCTTTCAAATACTGGGGCTTGATCTGGATCTCACAAATCAAAGGGATTTGTGAGAATCCCAGCTTTCGTATGAAAAGAAGAGCAAGTTGCTAGTTCTCAAGGTGGCAGAGGTGAATGTTAACAGGCTGCCCTTCCTGAGTGGGCATGGCCTGGTTTCTTCTTTGGCTTTGAATTCTTGGCCTGCTTGTTTGCCTTGGGGCATTTAGAGCCTGTTCTGCATTAGAGTTGGTATCTCTCAAGACCTGCTATTTATTTATTTATTTATTAGATTTGTACCCCGCCCTCCCCAACCGGCTCAGGGCGGCTACAACAGAGGCAATTGCCATAACAACAGTTAAAACAACATAAAAGCAATCATTAAACAGTATAAAACAATCATTAAATAAAGTACGGTGCTCTTGATGTTAAAGTTTTCTAATCCAAGATGAGTTCCATTCATCAACCTAACCTGACAACATACATTCTTCGGTTGACTAGGCGTCTGCCCAGGGCCAGCTCACCTCCAGATCTAATCCACCGTCGAAGATGGCAAGTCGGTGGTGGTACAGTGACGGCGGCGGCTCCTATGCCTGCTAGACTTTGAGAACCTCTCTTCCCACGTCTCCTGCTTCTGCAAATGCCACTGGAATGACTGGTGTTTTGCTTATGAGTCCTGGGCAGTATACAGTGCACTAGGGACTCACTTGGGGGTAGGGCTCCAATTCCCCAGGCAGGGGTGGAGGATCCCCTGCTTTTGGGGGCTTGTGTCTGTTGCTGGCCAGCTGGCCAGCACGGTTCTCCCCACCTCCAAACAGCAACATTGCATGGCGACGTCCCTAACATGATGACATTGTGCAGAAGTGATGTCATCACGTCGGGAACGTTGCGTGGTGACGCTCTGGTTGAAGGGCAAAACTCTATGGTTTGAACCTGACTTTACGATAGAGGTTTGCCCTCAAACCAGAGTGTCACCATGTGACGTCCCTGACATGATGACGTCAGTTCCACGTGACGTCATTGTGTTGGGAACGTCACCGTGTGATGTCACTGTTTGGGGGTATAGCCCTGCCCCAATTCCAGAAGGCTTCCTCCCACCCCCCCGCTGGCATATTGTGGAGATCTGGCAACCCTACTTGGGAGGCATCGGAAGGAGAGTTAGAGCAGCCAGTTCACGTCTTCTCCCTAGAAGGACTCCTCTGTGGCAAAGCAGCAATTTTATTTCTTCACTGAGAAAACTTGACTTTCAGATTTCATGGTGGAATCCTTTACAAAGAAACTAGGGCTGCCACCCTTTGGAAATAAAGTTGGTCAATCGTATCTATTTTAAGCAAGTAACTACAATTATTAACTCTGCATACATTTGCATATTTATTTTATTTACTTCGTTTACAGTCCACCTTCCTCCCTGAGACTCTAGGCTGACAAGACAATTTAAAACAATGCAGTACGAACAGTGTATTACATACAATCAATAATGCACTAAAACTGTTCTACAAATCTACAGAATCATGCCTTAGACGACGACGACTACTACTACTACTACTACTACTAATAATAATAATAATAATAATCATGGCTCTTTTTGTAGCAGGAACTCCTTTGCATATTAGGCAGCACACCCCTAATGCGGGACCTTATGCAGTTCCGCAGGGCCTGCAAGACGGAGCTCTTCCGCCAGGCTTTCACATAGGGGCCGCCGTTGCCACCACCACCAATGGTGGCAATACCATCGGGATTAGAAATCGCCCTTGGAAGCTCATCCATAAATTGCGTGGCATTGACAACGTGGTATTGGCTTGAACTATCTACTGGACAGTGGTACCCCAACGGGGAGGATTCGAAGATGCCATCAGAACCACTCAAGAACCACTCAAGACCATCTCGTTTACAGAAAGCACTTTATTATTGTTATTATTGTTATTTATGATTTTATTGTTTTATCTGGTTTTATGGATGGGCTTATGCCCCTTGTAAGCCGCCCTGAGCCCGCTTGTGGGGAGGGTGGGGTAAAAATGCTTAAATAAATAAATAAATAAATAAGGTAGCCTATCCTCCAAGAGCTTACAGAACTCTTCTTACAGGGGCTGCTGTAAGCTCTTGGAGGATTGGCTACGTTAGGGGTGTGTTGCCTAATATGCAAAGGAGTTCCTGCTACAAAAAGAGCCATAATAATAATATAAATCACTGCTTCTCATTATCATTACCTTAATACCACTCACAATCATTCTCAACAGCACAGGCCTAGGATACCAGATTTCAAAGACAGGCTCAAAGATTTCACACTTATTGTGAATGTATGGAAAATCATCATCAGAGATTGATTATTTACTAAATACAGTTTGAATATTCAGCAAAGATATAGTAGTGGAATTTGGCCTTGACAAGTGTGCAGCATTAGTATTGTATAGCGGAAAGATCACTGAACAAGAAGAAATGAAAGTGCTGAACAACATCATCAAAACTACAAATATCTTGGAATTTTGGAAGCTGACAACATCAAGCATACCCTTGTTAAGAAAAATACAACCAAGGAGTATTACCAAAGAGTCAAGAAGATGTTGCGAACAAAATTAAATGGAGGCAACACGGTAAAGCCAATTAACATGTGGGCAGTCCCAGTTCTAAGGTACACAGCTGGCATGATTGATTGGAAACAAGAAGAATTAGAAGCGATAGATCTCAAAACTCTCAAGATAATGGCAATGCATCACGCACTTCGCCCTAGAAGCGTTGTTAATTGCTTTTACTTATTAAGAAAATTAGGTGGAAGAGGTCTTCTGAAAATTAAGCAAGTAGTTGAAGAAGAAAAACAAGCACTGAATGACTACACCAAGAAAAGCAAAGAGAAACTTCTAGTTGAAATGTACAAGGCAGACTTCTTTAAGGTTACAGAAACCAAAGAAGATTACAAAAAGATTGCAATCAAAACAAGATTGCAAAAAAACAAGTGCATGGGCAATATTTGAAAGAGATAGAGAGCAAAGTTGATAGCGAAAATACCTGGAAGTGGCTCCAAAATGGGCACTTTCAACGGAAGGACTCATTCTAGCTGCACAAGAGCAGGCACTCAAAATGAATAGTATGAAAGCCAAGATTCAGAAGACCAGTGATAATGGCAAATCTTGACTTTACAAGACAGAGGATGAAACAGTCAATCACATGGTCAGTGCCTGCAGTAAAATTGCTCAGACTGACTATAAAGAATGTCACAATAGAGTTGCAGCTATGTTGCACTGAAATTGCTGCAAGAAGTATAGCTTACCATCATTCAGAAATTCATGGGAGCACGAACCAGACAAGATCAAAATACATGATGAAACAAAGATTCTTTGGGACTTCTGATTGCAAACAGATAAACACCTGGAGCATGACACCCCTGATATCACAATTGTAGGGGGGGGGAATGAGAAATAGAGTTTGGATAAATGACACTGCAATCCCAGGAAACAGCAGAATAGAAAAAGAAAGAACAGGAGAAGATCACGAAATACCAAGACCAAGGAATATGTTATAGCGCCTCTGGGAGAAGAAGGTTACCATTGTGCCAGTTTTCATTGGAACCTTTGGAGCAGTGCCTAAAAGTCTCAGAAAACACCTGGACATTCTGGCCATTGAGGAAATAACACCAGTTCAGCTCCAGAAGACAGTGTTGCTTGGAACAGCAAAAATCCTGTAAAGATACCTCTGCAATACCCAAGAACTTGGCTAGGTCTCGAATTGCAGAACACCATCTACCAGTCAAATATCTGACTGTGACTATTATTATTATTACTTCTCACAAGCACACACATGCACATAACAAATACAAAAAAGAAAGATTTTTTAAAAATGCAACACAAAAAAACGACATAAAATTTTGTAGTAACTCCCCAGATCACCCTCAGTGCAAACTATCAGCAGCGGAACATCAATCAGTGATTAAAAACACCAACAAATAAGAGTACAGAAACAATAAAATCAGCAGACAGCAGTAAAAAATTAAAATACAAATCCACAGGAGAAAAGGTCAGTAAACACTTTTTGGAAATCAGTGCGGCTCATTTACTGACAAACTTTCTCTGCAGCAGTCTAGTTTTAGCAGGTTTTTGGAAGGCAGGGCAAATTTCCTGGGGCAAAGACTGCCAAAATCTGGAGACTGTAGCTGAAAAATCCCCTGTCATGCCTGCCTGCCAGTCTTCCATGTCATTTAGCATGGATATGTGAAGCAGGAGACTGGCAGCTTGGTCTTGGTTAAAAGGTGGGCGCCTATGAGTAGAGGTGATAACACCGTTGTGGGAAGAGAGGGTATTTATTTATTTACTTTATTTGTAGCCTACCTTCCCCCCCCAGTGGGGACCCAAAGTGACATATGTCGTTCCCCTCCATTTTATCCTTACAACAACTAAGTGAAATAGGTGAGTTTGAGACTCTGTCAGGTAGGGTTGCCAAGTCGGATTGGCGCTGGAGCGGGGGACTCCAGCGCAGCTCCGGGAGTGCGCGCGTGCCGCAAATACATCACCCAGAAGTGACGCGACCACTCCTGGGATGCTGGGGGCGGGGCCACAACCATCCGATGGAAAACCATAGAGTTTTCCCTCGGATGACCGTGGCCCCGCCCCCAGCGTGCCCGGCGTGGTCACGTCACTTCCGGGTGATGTGCACGTCGCGTGCTTTGGGGGTGGGGTTCCCCCCTGGGGCCCGATCCGCCGGCGGCGGGAAATAGGCCTCTGGGGCGGGGGTTTCCCCGCCCCCCAGGGGGACTTGGCAAGCCTACTGTCAGGGCTATTTTTGGGCAGGAACACACAGGAACAGAGTTCCGGCTGGCTTCAGAATTGGCCACGCCCAGTACAGCCAAAACCTCTGCCTGTGTGGCTACAGAGGCAAGGCCTGGAGAGCGACACCCCCTCCCGTTGACTCTGAGGCGGGTGGGCCAGGGGGGCCCTTGGAAGGATCAGGGAGGCATTTAATGCCTCCCCGTGCCTTCCCTGACCTGTCCATGGCAGAGGGGATTTGAAACTGGGTTTCCCAGATCCTAGTCTGACGCTTCAACACACCACACCACGCTGGCTCTGGGACAGACCCTTGATTAAGTGGTGGGGGCCATCCATACTGACAGAGTTTGGGACCAACAGATGTTCCAGCAAGGAAAATATGTGCCAGGAGGGTGGGTAGTGGGAACAGTGAAATTTAGTACCATGGGAGTGGGTGGTAGTGGAACAAACTCTGGGATTATGGTTTGGGAGCTGCACTCTGCAGTTATCCTGAAGCGTAACGTTCTCCAGAACAGCTGGGTCTGCTAAGTCAGTGTCACAACATCTCCAGGATTCGTTCCAGTATCCCTGCAGTCTAAAGCTGGGTCCTGGCCTTGTATGCTAACTGAGACAGAAGCAGTATACAGTATACGGTGTTGTTATTGGTCGGCAGTAGGAAGCGTTTTGGATTGGCCAGGTCCCTCTGCAAGTGCCCCAGCTGGCATCATTCCTGCTTGGAGGGATGACGGTTGTATCTGCACGTCATAGCTCTGTGGGCCATTGACTGTCGTTCCCCCATCCCCCCAGCATGTAACTAATTTAGAGAATTTGATATGGTGATGGGTTGGATGACTTTAAAGGCGGGCTATATTGACAGCTGTTAGCCATGCTTGCAAAATGGAGACCCCGGGGTTCAGAGGCAACTTGCCTCTGAATCTGAGTTGCCTGCAGGGCAGTTTGTGGAGCAATTGTTGCTTCCGTTTCCCACTTGGGGGCCTATTGGAAGCATTTGGCCAGCCGCTGCGGGAAACAGATTCCTGTGCTAGAGGGGCCTTTGGTTTTCTCTTGCACAGTGAGTCTAATGCTTTTATAAAAGATTAGATAAGTCTCTCCACCGTTCTTATTCATGATAGCTAAGAATAGAACCTCTATATTTAGAGGCAGTCTATCACTGAATACCAGTTTTCTGGTATATGAATGACAGGGGAAGGCTATGGACTGCATTCCCTGCCTGTGGCCTTCTCGAAAGCATCTGGCCGGCCACTGTTGGAAACAGGATGCCGAGCCAGCTGGACCTTGACTCTGATCCAGCGGGACTCTTCCGTCCCTTTGGACAGTCCCGCCAAACTCTTGGGACTGATTTTTACATTCCTCTTCGAGGCGACAAACCAGCGTCTTGCAGACGCATGCAAAAGAATGTTTGGCTCTTGTCTAGCTGAATGTGGAGGTTTTCCATTGAGAAGCATGGCTCCCACTCCCTTTTGAAAGATGTAGGTCTCCGGCTAACCGCCTCCTGCTCTCCAATTGCAACTATAAATCATTACGATGCTGAGCACCCGTCAAGACGCCTCCCTCTCTGTCATGTGGTCCTAAATGCTACCAGCTGGCTCCCATCACCAGGAAAATTGCAGGCGATAAACAAAAGTTGACCCCGTAGGCCATTTTCATTCTTTTAGGAGGGAAGGAGGTGGGGGAAGGGGCCGATCAGCTGTTTAATATCCTGTAATGATGGGCTGCTCTGGAACGAGCCTGGCCTCCTGATCCTGCTTCTTCCTCGCATGGAGAAACTATAAGCCTGTTTCGGCACATAATGACCGGGGAGAAATGGTTGTTTCCAAAGAAATTTCTAAAATGAGACACGCTGGGACAGGAGCTGAGATGCATGTCCTGATGCTGGGACTGCAATCACACTGCAGTGACTGAAGGGTACTTTGTGTATGCTCAGAAGCACTCTTGCCTTCTTTCATTTTGCAATTTCTGGAGCTCAGCCCTTGCTGTGAAAAGCGTTTTCGGGGTGGAATCCTTGCCTCATACACTGTCAAGCGGCAAAGGAAGCTGGTGTGATTTCCCCTGTAGTGTGGAGATGCTGAGTGGTTTACGTGAAAGTGGTATGAGCCAGAAGTCAGGTTAAAGTAACGCTCTAGGGGTGCGTTCAGACGGGGCATTTACAACGGTATAGGTACCGGTTGGAATCGGTGTACTTACCGGCATTCACACGGCGAACATCTGCCTTCCGTCCCTAACCGTTGCAAAGAGCTTTAAACCATTGTATTCTGCCACTAGGTCCCCAAGTGGTGGTATCCTGAGTGCAATGGTTGGAATTGCTTTACCGCCCCGTCTGATCTCTCTCCACCGTTGTAGAGCCACTTCCGTTTGGAAGCCCAAGGCTTCCAATTTTCACCCACCATTTTTTTTTTAGGTCGGCGATATGTGCTTGGGCGAAGCTTCGCCCCGGCGTTTGTTTAAAAAAGAAAATAAAAGGTCCTTAGTTTAACGTTTTAGATGAGTCCGGGACCTCAGGGAGGCCAGTTTGCTCTTTAAACTTTAAAGGTAAGTCCTCTCTTCAGGGCATGATTTTCTGGACGGGGTGTTTTGCGCATGCGCGAAGATCGCCATTCTGTGGATGGCTGCCTATGCGCATGCGCAAAGTGAGTTTTAAAAAAACCACACCGCCGACGCCCACTGTGTGTGAACGGGCATACAGCGATGGGCTCCGCAGACAGGAGGTAAGTGTGATCACGTTTCATCCGGCATAAACTGCAACGGTTCCAACCGGTACAGTTTATATCGGCTGAAACGCCCCGTCTGAACGCACCCTAGGAGATCCATTGCATCGCTGGCTAATCTGGAGGAAGACGAGGGAACTGAGTGACAATCCATTACTCTTTAGGACTATAAAGTACGAGTCCGGTGGCACCTTTAAGACCAACAAAGTTTTATTCAACGTATAAGCTTTCGTGTGCACGCACGCCCTTTCAAATACATACACGTTATCTGATGTTATACCTTGAATAAATCTTTGTTGATCCTAAAGGTGCCACTGGACTTGAACCTTGTAGTACTGCTTCAGATCCACGCAGCTACCCCACCTGAACCTGTCTCCATTAGGATTATCAATAAGATAGTTCGCCGAAAGGGTCACAGGCAGGGCAGTGTAAGAACTGAGGCTGTCATAAGGGACAAGGGAACGGGGATGGGGAGAAGAACCAGGGATAAGGCAAAGGGGTCTGTAGATTCTCAGGGTTTCCTGTGTTTGTCAATGACGATGTGCTAGAGGCCGATAAAATACTGTGTGGTGCAGAGAAAGCCGGTGACAAGGTTTACTGATGGCCATTGATGGGAAGGGCTTTGATGGAGGTTCATATAAATCCCACAAGGGCGGGTGGAGGGACGACACAGCTGAGGCTGCTTTGCTGGAAGTATCTGGCTGGCCGGTGTGCGACACAGGATAGCAAGTAGATGGACCGTTTTGCAGGCCTGGCAGAGCTCTCCTTCCATGGGAGAAGCACTCCCCTGCAGGGCTGAAGGGGCCTGGCTTCAGACCCCAGAGCTGCTCGTCGTTGGCTCCTAAAAGTCCTTGGAGAAGGATGCTGTGGATGTGTTTTCCGTGATACCCTCCTAACTGAACTTTGCTAACCTGGATCCTAGCTCCGTTTCTCTCAGGTGCACTCGGAAACCAGCCCAGGGGAGGCCCCTGCTGGCTGGCGACTTCCTTCCCCGGAGTCCTCATGATCCCTGGTGTGAGGGTATGTGCCCTTGGACTACATCGTGGAAGCCAGCACCATGCAGTCCATGGGCATATACACTTGCCTCAAGGTTTATTTCATCTCGGCTGCCCTGGACCCCAGCGCTGGAGGACGTGCCGTTTCTTTCCAAGGGACGGGACTTGGCCCTTTCAGAGGCAAGGAAGTGCTTTTAACTGCTTGTTTCCTTTCCTTTCCCCCTCACAGGGGTACATTGGCCCACCAGGATTGTTTGGGTTGCCAGGTGCTGACGGAGAACGAGTGAGTATTTCTGGAGGGGACAGTCTCTCCCTTCATGCCGAATAACAGCATACGTTGTCGTCACGGCTGTCCTTGGGGGGGTCTCGTTCTTCCTCTTGTGTGGTGTTCTCCTGGCTTTTTTCTCTCAGTGGAGTCCTCCTGTTCTTCCTCTCCTTGATGTTCCTGCTGCTTTCTCAACGTTGTCTTTGCTTGCGGTCCTCCGAACACGCTGTCCGCGACTCTCCTTTTCCTGTGCATCTCAGCCTGCATTTTCTCCGCTATGGAAAGAACAAGCCTTTTACAAATACCTTCTGAGTACAGGGCCACAGACTCTCGCTTTCCCCTCATTTCAGATCCTTCATCTCTTCAGCCGCTAAGAGAACACGCAAGAGAGCTGTGCATTCACTCCATGCATAATCGCTGCGTCCGATTTGCTAGATTCAGGTCCGGTAGCACCTTAAAGGTAAAGGCCCCCTTGCTCGAAAGCCAGTCGAATCCGACTCTAGGGTTGCGGTGCTCATCTCCGTTTCAAAGCCGAAGAGCCAGCGCTGTCCGAAGACGTTTTCGTGGTCATGTGGCCGGCATGACTAAACACCAAGGCGCACGGGACGCTGTTACCTTCCCACCGAAGTGGTACCTATTTATCTACTTGCAATTTCTTGCTTTCAAACTGTTAGGTTGGCAGGAGCTGGAACTAGAGACGGGAGCTCACTCCGTCATGCAGCACACTCGGGTCTCGAACTGCTGAAATACCGACCTTCCCACAGCCTGCAGTTCAGTGCCTTAACGATTTGATCCACCGCAGCTCCTTAGAACCTTAGAGACCAACAAAATTTGGGGGCTTTCGAGAGTCACGGCTCTCTTTGTCAGCTTGTCGTCATGTCAGTCCCTTCGCTGTATCTGAGGAAGGGAGCGTTGACTCTCGAAAGCCCCAAAATCTCATTGGTCTTGAAGGTGTTCCTGGATTCAAACCTAGCTGTTCTACTGTAGGCCAACAGGGCTACCCTCTGACACTGCATCTGATTCGTTCCCCTCTTTGGTTTGCTTAAATTCATTTTACGCCAGTTTTTCATCTCCGTGCCCTCGCCTGGGGTCTCATTAAATTCTTAAAGGCTGGTAATATCAGTGGGATTGAAGGAGGCTTGTCAGGCGGTACCTTGTGGGTTCAGTACATCCCCTCGCCGGAGGCGCTCATCTCCCTACGTGTTTACTGTTCAGCCCACAAACACGCCGCAAAGAACTGTGATTTGCCTCAGCTCCCCAGAGCATTTCTCATCGTGATCCCGTGACGAAAAGGACACATGTAGCCACTTTACGCATAGTAGCCACAATGTGTACACTGCGAAAGCACATGGTAAGCGCATGGTGGGCTTGTGTGAAGCCACACCTCATAGGCATGCTTAGCTTCTTGCTGTATTTCTTGCTTTATCTCTTCCCTTGTCAGAGATCGGGAAGATTTTAGGAGTTTAGATTAAGTTCGCCTCTGAACATCAGTTTCTGAGAGCAAGCAGCTGAGAAAGGCGAGAGACCTTCACTACAGGCTGATTGGCTCCTGGGCAGCCTCTGGCTGGCCACTGTTGGATACAGAACGCTGGACCAATTGGCCCTTTGGTTGAAGGGTGTTGTTATGTTCTAGGAAGTTTGACGTAAGTGATACAGAACATGTCAGGGTGTAATGACTTAGGTCATCTTTGCACATGACACTGAAATCATGCCCTGTGATTTTCAAGGCTGTAAAATCAAAGGGGGGAAAACGCGCCGGCCAGAATGTGTGTTTGTTCTAAAAATTACTCTTCCCATTTCCTGTTCTGTGTGCAGAAGTGACCCGCTCCAAGCCAAAAGGCACGTTTAGCATTTTTTGGGAAGATGCCCTTTAATGAAGTTTGTGCCTGACAAGATCCTGGTGAAGCTAGGGTCAGAACTGATGAAGTGTTGGGAGCAACGCTCCCTCTAAGCTGTGCCGTCTTGGGAGCAAAAATTCTCCTTTGTGAGCTGCTGGCATTAAAAGTTGTGAGCGAGCGATTTGGCTACTGAATAAATTAGTTTGCCCTGGAGCCATCCTTCCTGAGCGGAGACAAAAATGTGTGAGCCGGAGGCTAAAAAACTGTGAGCTAGCTCACCCTAACTCAGAGGGAACGCTGGTTGGGAGATCCAGGACTGGATCTTCCCAGTGCTTTGGTAAATGGAACTTTCAGCCATGTAAGACCTTTATTTGGGTCGGGGCTTGCAGCGCAGAGGCGGAAGGAGTTTTAACAGTTCTATCCCCAGATGGTGTCACCAGTTTAAAACCTATCCTCCACACTGTTGACTGTTTAAAGAGGAAAAAAGACAGGCACTCATCTTTTCCTGTCTTTTTCAATAATAGTCCACCTCTGTGTGTGAGTAAATTAGGCAAGAAAAGATAAAGCCTCGTCCTCACAAGGTTATGACCAGTCTTGGGACTGAGTATTACAGCAGTTTACTTTTTTAAAATTCCTGGGAAGATCGAGTCATGGATTTCCCAACATCTAGTGGGACCATGAGCAAAAGGTGCACTTGTGAGTGAAATTCTCAGTGAACTAGCAAAGGGAGTTGCAACGGAAAGGAGCCTGCTAAGATGAGAATCATGGTTATGTCTAAACAATAGGTGGGTAGAGTGCAGGTAAATCACTACACAAAACTACAACAGAAAAGAGGGAAGGGGAAACTACACATACGGGAAAAAGTAAAGTACCCACTACTGTCTAAAAACCCAAGAGAGGAGATCTTCCCTCTAGCTTTGATACATCAAGCCTTTTCAGCATTGAACTTTTTTATAAACTGAGTCTAACATTTAAAATCTTTTACCCTCTAACTTTATGTTTAACTGCCCAATTGCAGTACCCCCAATCATCCCCAAACCCCAGTCTTTTTAAAGGCACCAGAGTCCTTCAGCCTTTATTTCTTCTTTTCTTTCCTCTTTCGTAGCTTGTAGGGACTCTTCGGGGCTGCTGCCCCTTGCTCGGACAAAGAGTCCTCACCAGAAGAGTCCGATTCTAGAGGACAAGGTCCTTCTGTGTGAAATCCATTCTGCTCAGTGTCATTGGCAAACAAGAGACCTCAGCGAGAAGATGAGTCGGTCCATGGGGATGGGAGGAATTTGCTACTGCTTCAGAGCCGCTGCCATTAATGCTTGCATCACCCAATAAGAAACATAAACAGAAGTTCTCTAGCAAGCGCCTGGGCTTGGCCTTTGTTCGGTTCCAGACCAGTAGCTTAATTATTCCTCTTGCAAAGTTCTGTCTCCGCTTCCTGGCCCTGGGTGGGTACAGGCTGTGTGCCCTCCAGCCGAGGGACCCTCCGTGGGTGAAACTTAGCTCTCTCGTTCCCTTTCCCCTTCCCCTTGTAGCGGAAGTGTTTGATATTTTGGCACATAGCTATCTTGCCATAATTAGATGCTTTTAATGCCCCCCTCCTTTGTTTTGGTTTAGAGTTTGTTGTTTCTTTCCCACCTCCATCGGATTTTAATTCTTTCCCCTTCTTGTCTCTTTGATTTACAGGGGATCCCCGGAGTTCCTGGGAAGAGGGGCAAGATGGGTAGGCCGGTAAAGTTTTTCTTCGTCTATTATGTTGACTAAAGATGGGACTTTGGGGGTGGGGGTGGGGATTTGTAGAAGGGGGATTTTAATCTCTGTGTTGTTCTTTTTGTGTGAATGTGTTCTCTCCCCACCCCCCACCCCGGTTTTGGTGATATCTGATTTAGCTTCCAGGCCAAGAGCTTTGTTTCCGTAAAAAGGGTACATTGGCACTAAAGATTTAAACCACTATCATGACTCTTAAGAATTCTGAGTCCGCTTGTAAAACTAAAGTTCCCATAGGGCTGTGTGTGTTTTGGGGGGTTTTTTGTGGGAAGCCATATGATGGTAAATAAGTTCTGAAGAGGCTTACTATTTTAAGCTCAGACGTCACCAAAGTGAGTGAAACTGGGCATCTGGGTGCTCTTCAAAAATCACTCGGTCGGTATGAAAAGTTTACTTCTGTGGGTGATCTTTGACATGATGAAGCAGCCCCAAAATTGGCACTCCCTGGCTCAGCCCCGCTTTTTGAAGGCTTTCGGCGGTTGGCAGACCCGTTACCTCGCATGATATGGTTGGTGCTGGAGCCCCAAGCACAAGTTCTGTGGGGTCAGTCCAAATTTGGGACGCTGCATACATATGGTCGTTTCCCACCAGGGGTCATTTTGTAGAATAAGAGGTGCAGGAGTTCGTTAGCATAACACATTAGCGTAACTTATTTGCATATGCCACACCCCTTGACATCACCAGAAGTGTGTCAGAAGGCAACACCCACTGCTCAGGCTCCACTGGATTGTTTTGGATTGCTAGCTATTGGGGGGGGGGGGGCTTTGCAACTTACCTGGCTGCTTCTTGCTCTGACTGAGGGCTGCTGGGAGCAGGGGGCGGGGCTTGTTGCATGTGCCCGCCCCCTGGGCTCTTTACTGTCGGAGCTCCGCTCCTGTGCGCTCCCGCAGGAAATGCCCCCTGTTTCCCACACATGCAATCTTAGTGATTGTGCAGCCCAGCCCTCCTGATCTTTGTTCGGCCTCTGGTTGCCGTGTTCCCTGGGTGTAGATCCCACACCTCTCTGAGAGCAGGGGGCGGGGCTTGTTGCATGTGCCCGCCCCCTGGGCTCTTTACTGTCGGAGCTCCGCTCCTGTGCGCTCCCGCAGGAAATGACCCCTGTTTCCCACACATGCAATCTTAGTGATTGTGCAGCCCAGCCCTCCTGATCTTTGTTCGGCCTCTGGTTGCCGTGTTCCCTGGGTGTAGATCCCACACCTCTCTGAGAGCAGGGGGCGGGGCTTGTTGCATGTGCCCGCCCCCTGGGCTCTTTACTGTCGGAGCTCCGCTCCTGTGCGCTCCCGCAGGAAATGACTCCTGTTTCCCACACATGCAATCTTAGTGATTGTGCAGCCCAGCCCTCCTGATCTTTGTTCGGCCTCTGGTTGCCGTGTTCCCTGGGTGTAGATCCCACACCTCTCTGAGAGCAGGGGGCGGGGCTTGTTGCATGTGCCCGCCCCCTGGGCTCTTTACTGTCGGAGCTCCGCTCCTGTGCGCTCCCGCAGGAAATGACCCCTGTTTCCCACACATGCAATCTTAGTGATTGTGCAGCCCAGCCCTCCTGATCTTTGTTCGGCCTCTGGTTGCCGTGTTCCCTGGGTGTAGATCCCACACCTCTCTGATCACCTGTGAATTCTAGAATCCTACTAGTTGGGGGCCCAAAAAAAATCATGGGCGGGGGGACACTTCTGAAATCCCTTCCTCCAAATCTCTTCCTTCGGGGCTTTCAGTTCCCAGCTGCTTCAGCATGCCAGTTTCCCCATCTCACCTTATTCTATTAATTGTTTCTCAGCTCCTTCCCACGTCTCGGAGACCATATTTGGTCCTCACAGTGCTGGACTTTTGTGGGGAGGGCGGGGTTAATTCACACAGCTATATTTTCCTATGTGAGGAGCTGCGGTGGCTCAAGTGGTTAAGACGCTGAACTGCAGGCTGTGGAAGGTCAGTAGTTCAGCAGTTCGAGACCCGGGTGCCGCATGACGGAGTGAGCTCCCGTCTCTAGTTCCAGCTCCTGCCAACCTAGCAGTTCGAAAGCAAGAAATTGCAAGTAGATAAATAGGTACCACTTCAGTGGGAAGGTAACAGCGTTCCCGTGCGCCTTGGTGTTTAGTCATGCCGGCCACATGACCACGGAAATGTCTTCGGACAGCGCTGGCTCTTCGGGTTTGAAACGGAGATGAGCACCGCAACCCTAGAGTCGGACTCGACTGGCTTTCGAGCAAGGGAACCTTTACCTTTACGTTATTTTCCTATGTGCCTTGGGTTGGCTCCTTCCATTAGTGCAAAAGAGGCAAGAGGTGGGCCTTTGGACACCAAAAGGGGCCATGGGGGTGATTGTGAATTCTGAGTGGCCAAAAAACAACAACAAACCCATGACGATGTGTGGGACAGGACTGTGGTGGGGATTCAGTGAAGTCGCCCATCCTCCCTTTTGTGCCAGAGGAAAAGACGGCAGGATACAAGAACAGACTGGGAACCGAAAGGGGCCCTGGAGCACGCCGAGCCGAGTGGCCCCTGGGATGCCGCAAGCCAGCTTGGCGTGGGTCACTCAGCTCAGTAGTGCAGAGAAGTGATATTAGCTCAGCCATCGCTTCCTCCTGGAAACTGGCAGCTGTGCGGGAACAGGCAATTGGAGAAGTGACACCCGTCGCCCTTGCCGATGGACAGGCTGAGCCAAGTGGCCCCTGGGCCTCTGGCAGAGTTGCTAGAGCTTGGTTATGCTGCTCCTGGCCCCCAGCAGCCTCAGGGACGGTTCTAGGTTTTGGAGGCCCTGGGCAACGAGTTCCCAGCTACCCTCCTATCCTCTCCTTATCCTCAGCCCCCCCCCCCGCTCATGCCTTCCTTTCCTCCCTCCCACATACATCTCCTACCGACTTGCGTGTCCTTCCCCGGTCTGCGCAAAAGCCCTCCTATTTGTCCTTGGGCACAGCTACCCCCAGCCCTTTCCCCAGTGGCACCAGGCAGTGCATGCAGCAGGGAGCGTGGGTAGTGGAGCACTAGCAGGGGTCATTTCGTAGAAAAGAGGTGCAGGAGCTCATTAGCATAACTCATTAGCATAACTTATTTGCATATGCCACACCCCCTGACATCACTGGAAGTGTGTCAGAAGGCAACACACACCGCTCAGGCTTCACTGGACTGTTTTGGATTGCTAGCTACTGGG